GCTGATTTTATCACAGTAGCCTTGTAGTATAATTTCAAGTCAGGAATGGTAATGCCACCTGCCTTGTCTTTATTGTCCAGAATTGCCTTTGCTATTCTAGGTCTCTTCCAGTTCTCGATAAATTTCAGGAATGATTTCTGTGTGTCTGTGAACTATTTCGGTGGTAGTCTGATAGGGATTGAATTAAATCTGTACAGGAATTTTGGGATTATGGTCATCTTCACAATGTTGCTTCTTCCTATCCAGCAACATGGGATATCTTTCCATTATCTGGAATCCTTTTTGATCTGTTTGTAAGATTACTGTAATTTTCCTTGAAAAAGTCTTTTACTTCCTCAGTTAGGTTAATTCCAAGATATTTCATTTTCCTTGGTGCTATTGTAAAAGAATTTGTTTCTATAATGTCCCTCACTGTGTGTTTGCTGGCTGTGTAGAGGAAAGCTATTTAATTTTGGGTATTGACTTTATAACCTGCTATGCTACTGAATTTCTGTATTAATTCTAGTAGCTTCTTCGTGGAGTTTTTTTGGTCTGCTAAGTCAAGTATCATGTCATCCACAAATAAAGATAATTTAACTTCTTTGCCTATTCTTCTTCCCTTTATTTCTTTCTCTTGTCTAATGGCTGTAACTAATGATTCCTGAACTATATTGAATAGGAGTGGTGAGAGAGGACATCCTTGTCTTGTACCCAATCTAAGAGTAAAAGATCTCAGTTTTTCCCCAATTAGGGTTATGTTAGCTGTTGGGTTTTCATAAATGGCTTTTACGAGATTGAAGTAGAGGCCATCTATTCCAATTTTCTGTAGGACTTTGAACGTGAATGAGTGTTAGACTTTGTCAAAAACCTTTTCTGCATCAATGGAGATGATCATGTGGTTTTCACTTTTCGCTCTATTGATATAGTGTATTACACTGATAGATTTTCGAATATTGAACCATCCTTTCAACCCTGGCATGAAACCTACCTGGTCATGGTATATGATCTTCTTGATGATTTGCTGAATTCTATTTGCTAGTATTTTACTGAGGAGTTTGGCATCTATGTTCATGAGGGAGATAGGCTTGTAGTTTTCTTTCTTAGTTGCATCGTTCCCTGGTTTTGGTATCAGTATAATACTTGCTTCCAGGAATGATTTTGGGAGGATTGCTTCCTTTTCAGTTTCACGGAAGAGTTTGAGGAGTATAGGGACTAGATCGTGTGTAAATGTCTTGTACAATTCAACTGTGAATCCATCTCAACCTGGATTTTTTTGCCGGTAGGTTTTTAATTACATCTCGTATTTCATTGGCTGTTATTGGGCTACTGAGAGTGGTTATATCTTTTCGATTCAGTTGTGGTAATTTGTACATTTCTAGGAATGTGTCCATTTCTTC